GCTGGGCCACCCAAATCCTGCTATGTTGGCTCTGAAGCTAGCTGACTCCATTTTTGGCAGTGACCACAAATCAAAAGAGGTCCATGTAGGCACGTGAAAAGGACAGTCTGTGCCACTACAGGCCTCCCCCAAAGCCCAAAAGATACGAGGAGATCCCTGTTGATAAATCTGATTGTAAGATGCAGAGAACTGTCCGTTGCTGGCCCGGCTGATGTTCACAGCTGATGGAGGGACTGGCAGCATCACAAGGTTTATCAGAGAAACATCCCTAACTGAAGGGACTTTACCCAAACCCATGGGAAAAGGATGATGTTAGGACTGCCTGGTATGAATACTGAATAAATGGAAATCATGGTGAAATGAGGTGAGACAGAGCGAGAAACAACACAAAGCCAACTGTTTTCAGGTCTGCAATGAGTCTATGACAGAAGCAAGAAAGCAAAACAAGGAACTCTCCCCATAATCTCTCACCCCAGAGACATAGGAACCTACCTCCCCTCCACCTTTTACTTCCATGGCTACTTTGTTCACTGACACCTTCACGCACCAGCACTATTTAAGAAAGAGAGAAAAAGGAGGAGAGAAAGAAAGAAAGAGAGAGAGAGAGAAACTCCTCAGGCATAAAGGAGAGAGATCAGAAGTCCTATGTCTAAAAGCTAAACTACAATGAAGAGCAGAAACAAAGTAAACTTTCAAATAAAGCTAAATGTAAGAGAATTGCAAAGGAACACAAGCTAAAGTAGAGAAGAAATAAATTATCCAGTCCCTATCCTTGGAAAAACACAATCTCATTGGGGCAGCCCTCTTTATACATAAAATAAGCATAGGTATCTGGTATTAAGCTTAAGTTTCAAAATGAATTATACAGACACAACCAGGGATTTCTAGAAAGGGAATGTTTATTGCATCCTGTAATGGCTGCCAAGGAAGATGTAGAATCGTTGAAAACCCCAACATGGAAAGAAACTTCTAGGTCAAGCCTCACTGCCTTCCTCCTACCCCTATGCAGTATTCCCCTCTAAGGAATCCAAAGAATTAATCAAAACTCTTCTTCAACATGATTATCACTGGCTGATTTATTATACTCTTAAGCAACCATCAACAATGAGGCAGCTGATTGTTAGCTTGTCCTTATGTAGAGCAAAAACCATTTCCCTGTACTTTCCACCCCTAGTTCTGTCTTTTGAGCCTCTCAAGACAAGACTGTCTCCTCTCCCACATGGCATTCCATGTAAAATTTGAAGTCATTCACCAAGTCTTCTCTTCCCAAGTCTCCACACCTGGTCTCTCCCTTCCTTCTGCATTAGTTCCAGTGCCTTTTACCACCTAGAAGCCATTTGCTGGACATACTATAGATGGTCAACTTCCCTCCAAAGGGTGAGACTCTCAGCTGGCGAGATGTGAGGATCACTGGTGTGGTTGTTGACAAGCTTTAGTTCCACACAGACTGTGGCTTCAGTTCCTTATAGGCTGTGGAACCAGGGCCTCAGTTTATCACCACACCTTGTTGGCCCTTCCACACCGCTATCCACGGTATGGCAGCTTGCTTCTCCCAGCGCAAAAGAGCAAGAGAGAAGGGGACAGAGAGAAAGACCTCAAGATAGAAGCCACATTCTTTTTGTAACCTAATCTTGAAAGTAGCATCCTATCACTTCCACAATATTCTATTAATTAGAAGAGAATCATGAGTCTAGCCCACACTTAAGGAAGGAGATTACCCTGGAGCCTAAGTACCAGGACACAGGGATCATAGAGGGCCAAATTAGAGGATACCTACCACAATAACAGATGCAAAAATTCTTAACAAAATTTTAGAAAATCAAATAGAACAACATACACAGGGATAATACATCATGACTAAATTAGGTGTCACCTAGGATTGCAAAGTTAAACACTCTAAAATCAATCAGTGTAATTTGCCATATTAACAAACTAAAAATGGAAAATCATATGATCACATCAATCAATACAGAAAAGTCTGTGACAAAATCCAACATCCATTCATGATGAAAACTCTCACTCAAGAAGCAAGGATAGAAAGGAACTTCTTCAAACTGATAAAGGGAATCTACAAATCCCTATATCTAACATCACACTTAATGGTAAAAGACTAAATGCTCTCCCCATGAATTTGGGAATGAAGCAAGAATGTTACTCTCAACACTCCTATTCAGCATTATACTGCAGGACCAAATAAGTCCCAGAAATCAAGAAGAAGAAATGTATAGGAATTAGAAAGAAAAAAGCAAAAGTGTCTTTATTCACAAGTGACATGATTATCTATGTAGCAAATCCTCAGGAATCTACAACAAAGCTAATAAAAGTAACCAGTGAATTTACCAAGGTTATATATTACAAGGTCAATATATAAATTGCAATTGGATTTCTATATACAAAATTAAAATCAGATATTGATTTTTAAATATTTATGAAGTGGTTACAAAATGTCACATACATGCATCCATTTACATAACATTCTTGAAATGACAAAGTTATAGAGAAGAGATTACTGGTCACAAGGGATTAAGAATGGAGTGGAGAACAAAACAAAACAAAACAAAAACTTTCTAACTGGTGGTGGGCAGGCAGGTGTGGGGAGGAGGAAAGGGATGTATGTTTCCATAACGTGCACGATGCACATCACCAGGGGATTGGACATTTCAGGGGGAGAGAGGGGGCAGGAGCAATGTTTGTAACCCTAACAATATTTGTACCTTCATAATATGATGAAATAAAAATCATGTTCTAATAAAAAAAAAAAAAGAATGGAGTGGAGAACCATAGTGGGAGAGAGGTGAATGTGATCATAAAAGGGCAGCACGAGGGATCCTTATAGTAATTAAACTGCTCTACACCTGGACTGCTGTACACATGCATGAGCATTCACATGTGATAATATTGTGCAGAACTAAATACACCTCACATACACATACACACACACATTGATACATGTTGAACTGGTGAAATCTGAGTATGGTTGGAGAATTACATCAATGTCAGTTTTCTGGTTAACATATCATGCTACAGTTTTGCAAGATGTTAACATTGGAGGAAACTGGATAAAAGGTACACAGGATTGACCTGTATTACCTGTTACAATGTCATATGAACCTACAACTATCTCAAAATAAAGAACTTTAATTTTTAAAAATAGTTCTAGTTGCTGCATGTTACTATGACTATAAAACAATCAGTCTTTTCCTAGGGCCCCTAGTCCCTTTCATTCAAGGAGCTGTGGGGTGGGTGATCTGGCCCAAGTCTGGGAACTACCCATAATTGAGATGTCTTGTGCTATTCAAGACCTCTGTTCACCAGACCTAGGACACTCCTGCTTATGTAAATAAACTAAGACTTTAGTAAGCTGCCCAAATATTTCAGTTCTAAAGACATGACAAATTAGCTAAAATCAAAGACCTCTATTTGTCAAATTATTCTGATTTCTACCTCAACTCTGGCAATCATTACAGTAACCAAGCCCACCTTGTCTCTGGCACCTAGACTTCTCCCACCCTGGAATCCCATCATTGCCTCGGAGCTCAGGGAGCCCAGTTCAATAACAGCCATTCCGACAGGCACCCTAGGCTTGCAACAAAGAGACAGCCCAGAGCTCTCCAAGGGGCCAGTGCTCACTCCCTAAGGCATTTCCCACAGGTTTGGTGAAGGGAGTATCCTTGCTCCCTTCTAGGACATACTTAGGGTGTAAGTAAGCCAGTCTCATGTAATAAATCAGCCCCACCTTCTGATTTCCCTACACCTTTGGCTATCTCCCTCTACGGTATATCAAAGGTCTGGCATCTCAACTTCACACAGTATAGGCCACGTTGAGGTCTACGTTCCAATCTAACCAACCAGGCAAGAGGTTAGAGCCACTCGATATGCTTGAGCTAATACACTCATATTAGAATCCCTACTTAGTGCACCTCATCAACAAAGTCAGCCTGCTGGCACATTATGTCCCCTCCACTCTACTCCAGAACCCTTAAGATCCATTCACATTGGTGTTTCTGTTGATATTAATTAGCAAAAATATAGTAATTATTTTGATATGTAGTGCAATTGCTCATGGGTCACATTCCTTGCTGACACCTACTGGGATTTGAATTTATTAACCAAAAAGGAATAAGAGACCCTTGGTGGTAGTGGGGAAAGTTAGGACCTGAGAGGAATCAGCAGTCCCCAGAAAAGCAGGGGATCCTTAGGGGATTCCATTATAGATTCTTGAGGCAAGGCAAGACTCACCTCTTCAGACCATAGAAAATGGGTTGCTTTACTGGCAGAGGGACATTGGTGGAATTTAGGGGTTCAAGATATCAGTTTCATCAGAATCTGTCCAAACATAGTCCCATCCCAATTTTCAGAGTTTTATTTCCTCCCAACCAATGTCTTAACTTTATGTAAGAGATGCTGCCAGTTTTGTAATGCAAAATGTGTTGGAAGCCACCCACAGGATTAGACTTTGGTTTGGTTTTCAGAAATCTCAGACATGAGATTATATGAGATAAGAGTTGCTTTTAAGGCAGTCATAGAAGATGTCTGGACTCTTACTTAAACACAAGTTTGAAATTTAATGCCCAAGGCTAATCATTTTCTTTTTCTAAGTTCTTTAGTGCACATAGAGGCAATCAACCAACCCTGTTACATTCCTTATTTCCATTATTTTCTATGGCAGCAAATACTTAGTCACCCAAAGCCTTGTCTTTGATTACAGATACCTACATGTGATAACTTAAGTAACAGGTTTGCTACTGCATCCCATAAACAGTCACCCACAGCTTAAAACTAATACCTTTTACCACTTACAAGAAGGTCACTAGTAACTTAAAGATATTCAGGTTAGAGAACCAATCCCAATAACCCAAGCCATTTCACAGACCCTAAGGTTAGGCTCCCCTGGTCCCAATTCCAGTGCCAATATCTCTATAAATTAGGGTTCAATCATAGAAGCAGAACCACTCTGAGTGGTAAAATAAGGGAATAATTATAAAGACTATACCTTATAAAATGTGGAAACTGGTAAGGAAATCTTCTCTAGGCTCTTGTTATTGTTATTGTTGTTGTTTGTTTTGCTTTGTTTTGTCTTGTGTTTACAGTCCAGGAAAGAAAGGTTGTACAAGAAAAGATCGTGTGATTAGAGTCAAACAGATCTAGATTGATACCTAGCTCTGATATTTATAGGATACAAAATGTTGTCAAGTGATTCAAATTCTCTGAGCCTCAATTTCATCATCTGTAAAATGAAAACAATAATACTTTGGGACTGATGTGAGGGTGCATGAGATAAAGCATACACCAGAAATATGCCATATGTCATTCATTACAAGATACTCAGTATTTCACGTTTTAATCTCTTTGCAACATGAATGAATCTTGTAATCAATGGCACATTATTGTTTAACCGAGAACAGTTTTTCCTTCCTCAGTGGCACATAAAATAATGAGAGTCCAGAGTAACACTTCAAATAATGACAGGGGCAGATATCACTTTATGATCAAACCAAATGTGACTCACAATGCACAAGTGGAAAACCCCAAGCCTTCAGAAAATACAAATGTTCTTTATACATTCCATTTGTTTCTCCATTCATGGAACTAACTCTCCATCCAACACCCCTTATTATTCAGATGAGGGGAATGGAAAAAGTGTGAGTTTCAGAACCCAACAAATAAATTATGGACCTTGGTGCTATGTGCCATTTTGAGCTTCCATGGAGTGCTCTGTAATTGTGTATAATAACATTTCAAAGATCAAATGAGAAGATCAAATGAGAAGATACATGTAAAGACCTATCAGTGCCAAACATATTGTGGGTATTCAATAAATAACTCCCATTTTCTTTTCTTGTTCACATTCCTTCCTTCCACATTCTACTCTTCTATTGATTATTTGAATTGAAAGAAGGGCTGATCTTCTAGATCAGGGATTGGCAAACTATGGCCCGCAGATCAAATCAGCCCCCTACCTGATTTTGTAAATAAAGTTTTATAGAAACATAGTCACACTCATTTGTTTATATATTGTCTTTGGTTGATTTGTGCTACAATGGCTGCGTTGAATAGTTGCCACAGAGACAGCTTGGCCTTCAAAGTTGAAAATACTTGCTATCTGGCCATTTATGAAAAGTTTCCTGATCCCTGTTCTAGATATCCACAGCACCTAAAACTTCTCCCTCTGGTGTGTTACTATTCTGCTTTTAGAGAACTGCTTTGGATGAAAAAGTTGCATGCCTCATCCTAGGACTCTTAGCATCTGACAACTGCTTCAATGCCAGCAAAGAACAGTCATGGGAATGGCTGATGAGGAAGATAGCCAGGCCAGAGTAAAAGACAAAAACGTGACAGGGTGGTTCACATGGCTTCCAGCCCTCCCCTTTCTTCCACTACTAGAGTTATAAAAGCAAGGGCCAGAGAGGGGTGAGAGAAGCAGCTTACTATGGGCAGCATGGGCAGCATGGGCAGCATGGACAGCGTTGCTAGGAAAAGGCAGGCCCTACTCCTTTTGTTGGTCTTTCTTTTGCCTCCTGAAGCTGAAGCTGGTGAGTCTAGGGTGTAACTTACTGTCTTATAGGTCCTCAGCTCCTATTCCAAATTTGTTGAGCTGGGTCATAGAAAACCCTACAATGAGGCTGCAAGGAGCCCTTTGCAAGTGTTCCTGAGTGCAATCTCAACTTGGAAGAGTCATACTCTTTCCTGAAGATGATGACATTTTTCCAGGGACAAGTACCATTGGATAGAGAAAGAATCAGAACACTGGCTTTGGAAGATCTCCTTAACCTGCTTTCCTCAAAATATCTATCATTCTGATCCATGGTCCTTCTCCTGTATTGAGGAGGTAGCATGAGGACATGATGAAATGTCTAAATGAAATGACAACTCAGAAGCAAGACTGGCTATTGTGTTCTGAAAAGAAAGATGAGGATTGAGAGGGTGGAATGGGGCAGGGAAATCCACAGTAAGAATACAGGGAGGGGCTGAGCTGCATGAGAGGTGAGGATGAGGCTGAGAGGGAGGCCCTCAGCATTAACTCTGTCTTCCTCACCCAGTGGTCTCGTGGGAGGCTCTGTCAGCCTGTGATTGGGATCTGGGGCTCTCTGTTTCAGAGGAGATTATCAGTGGCACTGAGTGTAAACCACACTCCCGTCCCTATATGGCTTATTTGGAAATCATCACCAGCAGGGGTTATGTTGCCAACTGTGGTGGGTTTCTCATAAGTCAAGAATTTGTGATGACAGCTGCTCACTGTAAAGGAAGGTAAGAACCCTTTGACTTGTTATCTTTTCATATGAGGAACTGTAGGAACCACAGTTACACACAACTTTAAAGTAGCTTGAGGAGAGGTTCTCTGACCCTGCTCATCTCCAGATGTTCAGCCATGTACATTGGGAGGAACTGGGCCATTTCACCTGTCATCTCCCTCTCCAGAGGCCAGGGCTTTAGACAGGGCAGCCCAGGTCCAGGCAGGCCAACACTGCCCCTCTCGTCCTGCTGCCAGCCTCAGTCCCACCCCTCTACCACGGCCCTGCTCTCCTGAAACAACTGTAATCCCTGGGGGAAGCTCTGTCCTGAGTAGGATCTGAGTCCCTCAACTGGCATTGCACTTGGGAAGAGGAGGGCTGGTGTCCCTGTGCTCAGAATGGGCCCTTCTCAGGGGACCAGCACCTTCTCCTGCCTCTCTTTCCCTCTCAACAGGAATATTACTGTCACTCTGGGAGCTCATGACATGAAACAGAAAGAATCCACATGGCAGAAGATAGAAGTTGTAAAACAATTTGCTCACCCAAATTACAACGTTTTTACCAAGCTCAATGATATCATGTTACTGAAGGTGCGATTATCTTTTTTACACTTCTTGATTCCCCTTGCCCTGGCACTTCTCCTGGCCTGTATCTTTCTCATGCTCTCTCTTCCCACCCATTTCCTTGGGGTTCAGCCTCCCACACCATGTCATCACCACCCCTTAGGGAGAAACTCTCAGGCCTGTCCCAGGGAGCCTCTACCATCCACACCTCTCCTCTTCCCTGGGACTGGCAGTCCATCAACCCTTCCTCCCCTCACAGCTACAAACAAAGGCCAGGCTGACCCATGCTGTGGGGACAATTCCCCTGCCCACCGCATCTACTTTTATTCAATCTGGGAGAATATGCCGGGCAGCCGGCTGGGGAAAAACAGGAGTGACACAGCCACTGTCGAATACTCTGAGGGAGGTGAAGCTGAGACTCATGGATGAGAAGGCCTGCAACTACTTTCCATGTTACAGTCATAACCTCGAAATCTGTGTGGGCAATCCCAGGAAGACAAGAGCAGCATACAAGGTATCACATACCTACCCTTCCTCCCCACCTAGGGAGACAGTACCCTCCTGGGAGGCCGAGGGTGGGTCAAGAAGTTGTCTAGTCCTGTGACCACTGTCTGTGTTCATGGATTTCTAGGACTGTGGGATCTGGAATCTTCCTCGTGGGTTCCCTCTTCCCATACCCAAGTCCTACCTCTAAACTTCCCAACCAGGCCACACAGGGCTCCAAAAGAGAAAGGAAGAAGGTGGAGGGGAACAGGACCTTGAGTTGTGGGTCTGTGCCAGAGAGAGAAAGAAGCATTAACCTAACGTGTGACTCCACAAGGAGCCAGGGTTCCTGGCCTGACTCTGGTGTCTTGGGGCTAGCCGGGTGCTGATAGGACCAGGGAGAGGTGATACTAGGGACGGAAGGATAACATCTACTCATGTTACACTTTCTCTAACCCACAGGGTGACTCTGGGGGGCCCCTTCTGTGTGCTGGGGTGGCCCAAGGTGTTGTGTCTTATGGACGTGGCGATGCCAAGCCTCCTGCTGTCTTCACTCGCATCTCCCCATATGTGCCCTGGATCAATAAAGTTTTAAGGAAAAGTAGCCACAGAAGCCTGGCCAGCCTGAAGGAAAAGCCCAAAGCCAGAGCATTCCCTGAATAGCCCCTGAGCTTCCTCGGAGCCTGGCCCCAGCCCAAACCCAGAGAGGCTCTCAGAGGCAAACACAAACCTCAATAAAGATGCAGACTCCAGCATGTGTGTGACTCCTCTCTCTGTGCTCACTGCCCAGAGCTGGTTTGCTCCCCTCACTGAGGTCCTCTCCAGCTGGAATGAAGAATTGCACTGGGCTTCCTTCTGACCAAATTAGTAATCTTGGCTAATACCAAGCTCTCAGTACATTGTGTGGGATTATGGATTATTCAAGAAAATATTTGGATCCAGTCAATAGGGTTTAACATCCTGAGTAATATTGGCACTGATTAACTTTCTTCTTCCTCCTCCTACTGCTTCTCTTCCTTGTCCTTCTCCCACAAACTCCATGCTCTGGCCACTGCAATTCAGGACACAGAGACCCCATAGTGATCTTCCCATGACCATGTCAACAGCCCCAGGCCTGGGCTGTTGATACCTGGTGTCCGACCTGCCCCACCACCAATCACCCCTCAATACCGTGTCTGCAGCCAGAGGATCATCTGCCCTCAGAAGTCCTTGGGATGGGAGAGGGAAAGGGTCAGGCCTTTGTGTGCATTAGGCAGGGCCATTCTACCTCAGGAGAGGGATTCTCAAAAGCAGGCGTCCTCAAACTACAGCCCACGGGCCACATGCCGCCCGCTGAGGACATTTATCCAGCCCTCCGGGTGTTTTTGCAGCCGCTGCCTGTCCTGCTTAGCAGCCAACTCATCCCGGGCCCACAGTGCACAGTCTCCAATGGTCTGTGGGACAGTGAACTGGCCTCCTGTTTAAAAAGTTTAAGGACCTCTGATCAAGAGCATCAGTGTGAGCCTGACGCCATGACTACCTCAGAGACTCCCAAATTCAACGATTGTGGTCCTCCAAAATGACACAATGTGTCCAGGTCTTCCAGAAGAGGGATACCCAGCTTAGGTCAAGTTCTCCAAAACTTCCTCCCCAAGTGACCTGCAATAGGCTGAAGCCCACAGTCACCAGTATCTGAGCTGGGATCAGTACACTCACAGTCATACACCCTAGTATAAGAGAACAGGGCAGGAACTCCAAGCAACTCTCTGACGCTTACAATTAAAGGGCCACCATACAGTTCCCACCACAGTCCATAGAAGACCTAAGAAGATAAGCAGGGCCCTGTCACTACCATACTCCAAGAAACTGCTGCTACTACTCGCCCCAGACCAGGAACCCAGCACATCCAACTTCCTCCTGCCTGCTAGGCCAAAGGTCTCAGCCTCCAGCTTTGCCACTATTCAACACAGATGTAAAAAATTAAAGCAGAATATGTAAGACTGACTATAAATTCTAATTATACAACAACAACAATGAATGCACACAGGCAAAAAAAAAAAAAAAAAAGAACTGAAAGGATCATAAAAATAAAAGAACTTATTTTGGGCAGTGGTTAGAAGATGATATTTTTCTTTTTTTTTCTGACTCTTGTTTTATATTTGTATAATCAAATAAGAGATTTAAATGTGAAATACAAAGAACAGAGACACTGTGTATTTGTTTCCTTAGGTGACCAGAACAAACACTGTGGTGCAGCTAAGGCCTCATCCACTCTTTACCCTCAGACACTAAGGACAGCACATACACAAGGGCAGCCTTCCTTCCCAGGAAGCTGGAGAATTAGATGTCTGGAGAGTGGTCAGCTTAACCTCCAGCCTTGCCCACAAGAAGTGGCAGAGCCAGTGGAGACCTAGCTGAGCCCTCAACTGAATTAGAATCCAAAGGCTTCCAGCAAAACCACCACTGCAGACCAAATAAGCATCATGTGAACCCCAGAAATGGAAACAGCAGTTGATGGCCTAGTCGCCCTGAAAAACATAAAAGCATCATCACAGCTACCACATTAATTCTAAGATGTGTAAACTGGGGCACAAGGAGTGGGCCTGCATGATGGACACCAAGGATGATAAGAGCATCACAGCAGTACAACGTCAGCAGAAGCCATCCCGATAAGACGGTTCAAACTCATGGGCAGATGGCCTGTGGATGACTGAGAGCAGCACACAGAGACATGCAAAAGAGCCAGGTCCTCCTGGGGTCTTCACCATGTTGGAACCCATGTCAAAAGTTCATCAGGAAATTATCTGTTTCTCCACCTCACCCCAATGTTAGGCCTTCCCCTCGGAACCTAAGGATTGTCTCTCCTGCACCCCAGATCCCCTGGAAAATTTTACCCTTACACAGTCATGGCTTAGCATGTGTGGGTACTGAAGGAGTTGTTATGGGTTATATTATGTGCCTCCCAAATAAATATGTTGAAGTCGTAACTTCCAGTGCCTCTGAAGGTGACCTTACGGAAATAGGATTGCTGTCAATGTAATTAGTTCAGATGAGGTCATATTGAAGTAGGGTAGACACTTCATTCAATATGATTGCTGTCCCCATAAGCAGAGGACAGAGACACACAGGGAGAGGGCCATGGGAAGCAGGAGGCAGATTAGATGATACATGTACTAGCCAAGAAATGCCAAGGATTGCCAGCAGTTACCAGAAGCTAGGAGAAAGATCTGGAACAGGTTCTTCCTCACAATCCTCAAAAGGAACCAATTCTGAAATCAAAACCTTGATTTCAAACTATGAATTGTGAATTCTGTTTTTTTAAGCCACCTACCTTTGGGTTGTTTGTTATTATAGCAGTCCTAGGAAACTAATAACTGTGGTGTGGAACTATAATTCACCCTGGGGAACCCAAAGGAATGTAAGGCAAGCTGTAAATCTGCCCTTGTAGGTGCACAGTCTCAATGGGTCTGCCCCATATCCTTGAAGCAGTTCATTTAACCCAGGGCCATCTCAAAGGAAAGAACTAATTTTTTTCTTTTTCCACTTACTACTTTACCTACATTGTCTTGTTTAATTCTCATGATACTATACGCAAAAAAGGCTACTTCAAAGTTGCGTGTAACTGTGGTTCCTACAGTTCCTCATATGAAAAGATAACAAGTCAAAGGGTTCTTACCTTCCTTTACAGTGAGCAGCTGTCATCACAAATTCTTGACTTATGAGAAACCCTCCACAGTTGGCAACATAACCCCTGCTGGTGATGATTTCCAAATAAGCCATATAGGGACGGGAGTGTGGTTTACACTCAGTGCCACTGATAATCTCCTCTGAAACAGAGAGCCCCAGATCCCAATCACAGGCTGACAGAGCCTCCCATGAGACCACTGGGTGAGGAAGACGGGGTTAATGCTGAGGGCCTCCCTCTCAGCCTCATCCTCACCTCTCATGCAGCTCAGCCCCTCCCTGTATTCTTACTGTGGATTTCCCTGCCCCATTCCACCCTCTCAATCCTCATCTTTCTTTTCAGAACACAATAGCCAGTCTTGCTTCTGAGTTGTCATTTCATTTAGACATTTCATCATGTCCTCATGCTACCTCCTCAATACAGGAGAAGGACCATGGATCAGAATGATAGATATTTTGAGGAAAGCAGGTTAAGGAGATCTTCCAAAGCCAGAGTTCTGTTTTTGACGAAAGCAAGTTAAAAGTATGACTCTTCCAGGTTGAGATTTCACTCAGGAATACATGCAGAGAAAAAAAACAACAACCAGGCCGGGCGCGGTGGCTCACGCCTGTAATCCTAGCTCTCTGGGAGGCTGAGGCGGGTGGATTGCTCATGGTTCTGAGGTCGGGAGTTCGAACCAGCCTGAGTCCCAAGGAGCGAGACCCACCCCTGAGACTATAATAAAAGAAACTAATAGCCAACTAACATATATATAAAAAATTAGCCGGGTAGTGGTGGCTCATGCTGTAGTCCCAGCTACTTGGGAGGCTGAGACAGAAGGATCGCTTGAGCCCAGGAGTTTGAGGTTGCTGTGAGCTAGGCTGACCGCATGGCACTCACTCTAGCCTAGGCCAACAAAGCGAGACTCTGCTCAAAAAAAAAAAAAAAAAAACAACAACCTAAGTCTTGAGCATACAAAAATTAACTCAAAATAGACTGTAGATCTAAATGTAAACCATAAAACTTTTAGGGAAAAAAATAGGAGGAAATCTTTGTGACCTGGAGTTAGGCAAAGAGTTCTTAGACACGATACAAAAAGTACAATCTGTAAAAGAAAAATTCAATAAATTGGACTCAACAAACTTAAAAACATTTGCACTGTGAAAAGCAACTGCTAGAGAATGAAAAGACAGGTGACAGACTAAAATATAATATTTGCAATGCACATATCTGACATATGACTTGTATTCGAAATATATAAAGTACTGACAACACTCAATAATAAGGAAACAAAAACCCAATTAAAATATAGGCAAAAGAAACAAACAGACACTACACCAAAAAGGACTTATGGATGGCAAATAGCACAAAAACGATGCTAACACATGGCTAGCTTATTTCGCTATTAGAAAAATTCAAATCAAAATTACAATGAGGCCGGGCGTGGTGGCTCACGCCTGTAATCCTAGCACTCTGGGAGGCCGAGGTGGGCGGATTGCTCGAGGTCAGGAGTTCGAAACCAGCCTGAGCAAGAGCGAGACCCCATCTCTACTATAAATAGAAAGAAATTAATTGGACAACTAATATATATATATATATACAAAAAAAAAAAAAAATTAGCCGGGCATGGTGGCGCATGCCTGTAGTCCCAGCTACTTGGGAGGCTGAGGCAGCAGGATTGCTTGAGCCCAGGAGATTGAGGTTGCTGTGAGCTAGGCTGACGCCATGGCACTCACTCTAGCCTGGGCAACAAAGCGAGACTCTGTCTCCAAAAAAAAAAAAAAAAAAATTACAATGAAATACCACTACAGTCCTATGTAAATGACTAAAATAAAAATACTGAAAATACCAAGGGCTTACATGGATGTGTACCAACTAGAACTCTCATACATTGCTGGTAGTAATGCAAAACAGACCAGTCACTTAAAAAGTAATTTGTCATTTTCTTATAAAATTAAACATACACTTATTATATGACCCCAAATCCTACCCCTGGATGTTGACTTTACAGAAATGAAAACTTAAGTTCACACAAAAACCTATACCCAAAGTGGTGGAGTTATATGACTCTATATATGTGTTAAAAGTTCATAGAACTTTTACACCCAAAATGAGGGAGTATTGCTACAGGATAATTTTTAAATAAAATGCAAAGTTTTTCTCACAGTAGCCCACTGTCATTTTACAGATAAAGAAACTGAGCTCATTGGGGCAAAAAGTCAGACAGCAAATTGGAGAGCCTGGAATCAAACATAGGCTTATCTAATTCAAATTCTTTGTGCTTTTGACTTCTTCGTGCCTTGAATGTTTAAAGGAACAGCACAGACAGCACAGACAGGTGTTCACAGGAAGAGAAAAATACCAAGAATTGCAGTAATTAAGGAAGGTCTGGAATCGGATTCCTAGAGATGGCTGGACCAGACTAGGTCAAGTTGCACACCTCTCCCTTAGGGCATGTATACTCTTTACAACATCCCCATCCTGGACTCATCTCAATAATGGGAAACTCACCGAGTCAGCTATGCTATCATGTGGCAGCTGGTTGCTCTTCCTCATATACATCCAAAATGGGCTTCCCAATATACCTTGCCACTCTGCCTTCCAGGCTCCCCCGGACAAGAATATGCCATTTCCCACATGGGAATAGGAAACCCCAGTCCCCCTGGAGCAAATCACCTTTCTCCTGCATCCATACTTCCCTCTCCATTGGTAGGACTCTATTTCTCTATTTCTCTTTGGTGGTAGAGCAGAAAGAGCCCTGATTTGGAACCAGGAAAATCTAATTCTGAACCATAAGCCTTGATAGCCAGATCAATAAAAATTGAGGTGATAATATCTAATTTATAGCATTACTATTAAAGAAATAGTATATCTAAGAGTTGTGACATTAAATGACATGTATAAGCTCTCAGAAAATGCCGATTCCACTCGGGGCGTGGTGGCTCACGCCTGTAATCCTAGCACTCTGGGAGGCCAAGGCGGGAGGATCATCGTTTGAGCTCAGGAGTTCAAGACCAGCCTGAGCAAGAGCAAGAACCCAAATCTACTAAAAAAAATAGAAAGAAATTAGCTGGACAACTAAAAAATATATACATGAAAAAAAATTAGGCGGGCACAGTGGTGCATGCCTGTAGTCTCAGCTACTCGGGAGGCTGAGGCCAGGATTGCTTAAGCCCAGGAGTTTGAGGTTGCTGTGAGCTAAGCTGATGCCATGGCACTCTAGCTAGGGCAACAGAGTGAGACTCTGTCAAAAAAAAGAAAAGAAAAGAAAAGAAAGAAAAGAAAAGAAAAGAAAAGAAAAGAAAAGAAAAGAAAAGAAAAGAAAAGAAAGAGAGAAAGAGAGAAAGAAAGAAAGAGCTGATTCCAGTCCCATTTGCTTTTGTCATGATGTATATAAAGTCCTGTCCTAGGGTCTGTTCCCTACCCCATCTACTCTCCTTAGATCTTTTTTCTTCTGCCAATGAACATTTGTGTCAGAGGAAGAAAGAGATCCAGATCAATGTTTTTTAAACTGTAGGTATCATCCTTTGAGTGGGTGTTCCTCAAGTTTTAACATGAAGTGGAACGGAATGGAATAGAAACTAACAGAGAGCACTGGACATCATTAGAATAAATATTGTTGCCTGAAACTTTTGATTCATTTGCATATATGTATGTGTGTGCTTATGTCCTCATACAAACATTTGTGCATGTATTGGGTCTTTTTGCAAAATGCATTTCCCACTGTGGGTCACAGCTATAAAAGCATGCACACTTCTGAATGCCTAGTGTAAAGACTCTCCCCAAGCCATGTTTCTTATGGACCTTTAACCAGCTTCCCTTACTGGGAAACACATGGTCCCCACATTTCTCAGCCACACCGCACCCCAGATAAGACACCATAGTTGAGGGCTCCTCCTGGGACTTGGGAGTTTGGGCCTCAAATTCACCTCTAGTAAAACAGAAGATGATTTGGGGGGAACTTCTGATGAGAAAGACAGCCAACTTAGAGTGAAAGAAGGAAACGCGATCACACAGTTCCTGTGGTTACCAGTCCTGCCCCTCCCCACATCTGCTTAGAAGTTATAAAACCTAAGACTGGAAAGTAAAACCAGTAGCTTCCCAGGCAGCCTTTCTGGGAAGATGCATCTCCTTCGTCTCCCTCTGCTGCTCTTTATCCTATGCTCCAGAGCTCAGGCTGGTGAGTATCGGGGTCCTTGCCTCTGTAGTCTGCAGGGTCAGCTCTGACAACAAAGACATTTAGTCTGAAAATAGCTGACTCCTGAACAGGGTCCCAGGATCTCTATTCCAGAGTCCTAGAGAGACGTTTCCACCTGGGATATGCCCACCCATTCTCTGCAGCCTAAGGTATCTCCCAGGAGCAAGGAATCCTGCATTGTCTGGGCAAAAGCCCAGAGCAAATGGGAAGAAGAAGGGTATCTCCAGGAAAATGGACATGTTCTCTTTATCTCTGAGCTTCAGGGATACATATTACCTTGTGATTTGGTCCTTCTGTGACACTGCTCATGGGCTGTGGAGAAAGCCAAGACAGGAACCTGGGCAGCTTGTTCTACGTGGAGACAGAGGAGGTGGGCCAGGGCAGGGAAATCCTGGGAGTGGGGGAAATCCTAGTAAAACTGTCTGAATGGCCATTAAGGCAGGGTTAGCTGTTGTACTGGGATGAAGGAATGTGAATTTCTGGGGGAAGTTGTGGGCAGGGAAAGCAGCGACAAGCAACATGACAGGGAAAATGGGCAGGACAAAGAGTGAGGATGAGAGTCGAGGGAGCAACCCAACTTGCTCATTCTCTGGAGAGAGGATCAGTGCCTGTGTTCAAACCCTGGGTTCTCTGTTCCAGGGGAGATCATCCAGGGCACAGAGTGCAAGCCACACTCTCGCCCGTACATGGCCTACCTGGAATTTAACGATTTTGAGGGTCGACCCAGGTATTGTGGTGGTTTCCTGATAAGGCAGAACTTTGTGCTGACGGCTGCTCACTGTGCAGGAAGGTGAGACAACAGGGTCCTTTTATCCCCAAATGGGAGACAACCAACCAGGGTAGCTACTAGGGATACACCTACAGTGGGGCCTGAGGATGGAATCCTGGGCCTGGGTCAACTTACATGAGAGGCAAGGCTTGGGCTTAAAAAAATTGCTCTCACAATTGAATGAGTGCCCTGAGCCTCAGTCACTGTGAGCTCAGCTCCCCTTCAGAGGAAGAGGAGACCCTGATCAAGGTCCCTCCTCTAAAAGTACCCTGCTCACCCCCTCCCCAACACATAAGACATGTGACTCACTTTTCAAGGCCCATCCAGTTCTCAGGGCCACTTCTTCTAAGCCATGTCAAGAACATTGGCCTTTAGTTCTCAGGGTCCTGAAAGCATCCATTCTATGGAAGGCAGAGAGCAGGGTCCACATGAGACACTCCCACACACTTTCCCCTTTCCCCTGATACCTCCTGCATCAGAGGGCTGGCCCTCATATAGGGCTCCCTGGTTTAGGAAGTGCTAACCCTGGCCCCTGAGTCCTCTGTGGCCTGCTCATTCCCCAATAATTCCTCAGGCTCCTGGAAATTGTGTCTATTTCCTGAAAAAGCTCTTCCCTGAGCAAAACCTGAGTCCCCAGATGCTATAAGCAGCCCAAGAAAAGGGAGATGGGTAGAGTTCAGTGACTCCAGTCCCTTTTTCTCAGAATGGGCACATCTCAAGAGAAACCCCAAGCCATCACTGCTTCTCCTTGTCCTTCCTTCTTCCTTATAACAGGTCTATAACAGTCACCCTTGGAGTCCATAACACAAAAAAGAAAGAAAATACATGGCAGAAGCTTGAAGTTGTAAAGCAATTCCCTCATCCAAAATATATTGGTGATACTTTTCCCCACGACATCATGTTACTAAAGGTAACGACGTCTCTCTTTCCCTTTCCGCTTCCTGCTCTGTTAAGCTTCTCTTCAGGTCACCATTGCACTGAAATTTTGGTAGCACTTGCTCTATTGTGAAGCAGTTCACCCTGTCCCCTCTCCCCCCTCCACACACACCCCCATTGCCTCCGACTGCCTCAGGGCCCATTTCTAACACTGACAGCCCTCATCTCCTTCACAGTTGAAGGAGAAAGCCAACCTGACTCTGGCTGTGGGCACAGTCCCCCTCCCATCCAACTTCTACTTCGTCCCACCTGGGACAATGTGCTGGGTGGCTGGCTGGGGAAGTACAGGTGTCACGAAGCCAGGCTCAGACACTCTGCAAGAGGTGAAGCAGGAACTCATGAATCCCAAGGCCTGCAGCCACTTTCAAAATTTTAACCACAATCTCCAGCTGTGCGTGGGCAACCCCAGGAAGAAACACTCTGCATTTAAGGTAATCCTCCAAGCAAGGTTCTCCACAAATCACTGTTCAGGGACAGAATTCTCCTGAAAGGAGATGGGCTTAGAAGATGATCAGCCAGTGTCCGGGTTTGAGATCACAGGACTGAGGAACCTGGAATTGTCCATCCTCCCATGGCCCAGGACAGTCTCTGACCATCCATCCCCATCTGCTGTACAGGGTGTGTGGGGTGACATGAAAAAGTTGGGGTGGCTGTCCCAGGAAAGAAAGAAGGGGCATCAGACCTAGATGTATAGCCTCAGGATCCAGTGCTCCTGGGTCTGAGTTAGGTCTGACTGTGACCCCCAAGCTGGGACCCAAGGGCAGGAGGGGAGGACTTCCCTGGCTCACCCTGTGTTCTCTCGCTGTGCCACACAGGGAGACTCCGGGGGCCCTCTTATGTGTGCTGGGGTGGCCCAGGGCATCGTGTCCTATGGACAGAAAGATGCAAAGCCCCCTTCTGTCTACACCCGGCTCTCTCATTACCGGCCCTGGATCAACAAGATCCTGAACCATAATTAACCCTGGAGCCTGGGCCAGCAAAAGAGAGACTCTGGAACTGGACCTGAGCAGAGGAGTTTATCTGCGCCACTCATTCTGGCCCACTTCTAGTCCCTTGGCCACATCTCTGAGCCTGCAGAAGCTTCCTACAGGTCACAGAACTCTCAATAAACCTCAATAAAGACCCAACTTCCAGTCATGAGTGTGTGTCAACTATCTGGTGTTCTTTTCTTTTTAACTTAGTGACCTGATTCCCAGCCCAAGCACTTACAGGATTTGAAAGGAATGTGTGTGTGTTTGTGTGTGTGTGTGTTTGTGTGTGTGTCTGTGTGTGTGAGAGAGAGACAGAGACAGAGAGACAGAGAGAGAGAGAGAGAGAGAGAGACAGAGACAGAGAGACAGAGAGGAAATAATGAAGAAAAAGTAGAGAAAGAAAGAAGAGAAAATGTTTCCCTGCCGGGCAGGATCCTTATTTCTACCTTAAGAAAGAAAATAAACCAGATCCTTCCTTCCTTTAATCATCAACCCTATGCCAGTTCTGATTGACATTTAGTAATTTCAGAATCACTAGGAACATTTTGAATGGCAAACAAGATATAGGATGTTAACAGTATTCCTGGCCTCTTTCTACTGGATGCCACTAGCAACCACCCCCCCACGTTCAACCAAGTTGTGATAATAGAAATGTCTCCAGGCATTGCTGTGTGTCCCCAGACAGGGCAAGGCAGAAAAGGGTGAGGAAGTGCAAGCTCACCCTCGGTTGAACACCACTGGTTTAAATATATGATAGAAAGAAGGCAGTTGAAGTCACACAGGGCCCTTCTCAAGGTCCACTTCAATTAGAAAAGACCTACGATCAGTGAAACTTTCATCTGAGATACAGGGGAGATTGCCTCTCACTCACTCATTGCTACAAAACAGATATTGGCAGCAGATTAGGGGAGGGACAGCATCACAAGTCTGCACGAGCAACACCCATGCATAGAGGACTTCACCCAAACCAGCAGGAAGCCCAAAGTCTAGAGTCTTCTTAGCACAAACTGTTGCTGTAGGAGGGAAAATAGGGCAGGACAGGGACAGGCCTGCAGGAGCCTGAGGCTGACCAAACCACTTTGACCAGATGAACTATTGCTAGGAGTTTGTCTTTAAGAAATAATCTGAGATATACATATGGATTTGTGTATAAAGATTTTGGCCGGCCGTGGTGGCTCACGTCTATAATCCTAGCACTCTGGGAGGCCAAGGTGGGAGGATCACTCTAGGTCAGAAGTTTGAGACCAGCCTGAGTAAGAGCGAGACCCCGTCTCTACTAAAAATAGAAAGAAATTATCTGGGTTAATTAACTAAAAATATATAGAGGAAAAAATTAGCCAGGCATGGTGGTGTATGCCTGTAGTCCCTGCTACTCAGGAGACTGAAGCAGAAGGATTGCTTGAGCCCAGGAGTTTGAGGTTGCTGTGAGCTAGACTGATGCCACAGCACTCTAGCCCAGGAAACAAAGTGAGACTCTGTCTCAAAAAAAAATTTTTAATCTCAGCATTTAATCTCAGCATTTAATCAGCATTAATTAAATGCTGATTAATTAATCAGCATTTAATTAATGCTATATGTACAGCCTCAGGATCCAGTGCTCCTGGATTTCTAATAGTATGCCTCAGCATTTCTAATAGTAAAACACTAGAATCCCAGACATGAAACAAAGTTGAAGTGGTAAATTTATATGATTGAATATTTTGAATTCATTTGTTTTCAAAATATTGTATATGGAAAAATTCAATATGCTTTAATGCTTTCAAAAACCAATAGGAAAATCTGCTGACAGTAGAATCTCTAATTTATAATATATATTTTATATGTGCATAGGAAAAAACTTTAATTAGGTCAAAATAATTATGATAGTAATCTCTAGAATGGCATTTATAGCTATTTTGACTTTGTTCTGTGTTGGCTCCAAGCCTCATATATTCTGACTATTGGGGACACAGTATCATACATGGATCTGCCAGTGGATAAGCATACATACCCATCTTCAGATCCCACTGGGCAAGGGTTGCTACATGAGGGGTAGGCATCCTTGCATTTCCAGGTCACAGACTCAGCCCATTCAGGAAGCTACTAGAGAAGCAGAGCCTCCATGGGTTCCCTGGAGCCAGTGGTCGTTCCTTGTCAATTGGTGACAGGCATGGAGGTTCTTTGGTCTTTAGCAAAGGTGCTGGTGGCCAAAGATTTATGGCCACGGGAATGTTGTGAACTGGGGAGTAAAGCTTATTGAGCTAAACAGAGGTAGTTGATAAAATGGTCCTGATTCAGCCTTCCCTATGCCACCCAAATCTACTTGCACATTTTTACATTGTCTGGATCTTGCCTGAGAATAAGATGCCCACCCTGCTGTCCTAAGAAGGAAGATTCAAGTCCATGAGAACAGTGTGAGTTGTCACTTGAGCCACTCCACCCTAAAGGCAAAGCAAGCAGTCATCACAGGTGGGATCCAACGAATCTGGGTTGGGGCGTAAACTGGGCCAGGTACACTGGCCCTTCCCTAGGGCTTTAGTTGGGACCTTCCATAGCCAAACTCACCTTTGTTCTGCTGATAATTAGGTTACCCTGGACAAGGGTGACCATCAAATAGTGGACTTAATTATGTACATAATTGCCATGTGTTAGAGTGAGGGAGGGAGGAAATTGGGGAGGTGATGCCAGTAGAGGATGAATAAAAATAAAAACTGCCCATCTGACCAGAAACAAGTGAATCTGATCTGTGCAAGGGGTGGACTTTAGTAGATATTGTTGGTGTCTCGCCCAAGACTTCTTTACCAGCTGGTGCACACATTCCCCAGCTGTTATTAGTGCTAAGTCATTCTCTAATGTCCATAATAACCCTTTCCTTGGACCATTTGTCTCTCCATACAAAGTGGATGCCCAAACTGATTTTTGACAGGGCTGCTAAAGACATATCATAGGGAAAAGATAGTCTATTCAATAAATGATATTGGGAAAACTGGATTTCCACATGTAGAATAATGAAATTAGACCTTTATCTCATAACATGTACAAAAATCGACTCAAATTGGATTAAAGATGTAAGCGTAAGACCTGAAATTGTAAAACTAGTAGAAGAATTAGATATGATCCCAAAAGGACAGGCAGCAAAAGCAAAATAGACAAATGAGATTGCATCAAACTAAAAATCTTCTGCACAACCAAGGAAACAGTCAAGAGTACACAACGTATGGAATGGTAGAAAATATTTACAAACCATACATCTGATGAGGGGCTAATATCCAGATATATAAGGAACTCAAAGACTGTAACAGCAACAAAACAAATACCCAATTTAAACATGGTCAAAGGACCCAATAGACATTTTTCAAAAGAAGACATACAAATGACCAATGATATTTGGTCAATATGACCAAACAGATGTACTTAAAAATCCTGAACATCAATAATCATCAGGGAAGTGAAAATTAAAACCATAATGAGATATAACCTCCCACCTATTAGAATGGCTACTATCAAAAGGATAAAAGATAATAGGTGTTGGTGAGAATGTGAGGAAAAGGAAACACTAGCATACTGTCAATAGGAATGTAATTTAGTAGTGCCATTATGGAAAACAGTATGGAAGTTTCTCCAAAAATTAAACATAGAACTATCATACAATCAAGCAAACCCACTACTGGGTATATATCCAAAAGAAGTGAAATAAATATGTTGAAGAAATATCTGCAGTCCCATGTTCATTGCAGCACTATTCATAGTAGTCAAGATATGGAATCAGCCTAAGTGTCCATCAATGGATAAATGGATAAAGAAAATATCACATACACACAGTGGAATGCTATTCAGCTTTCCTTCTGTAAAGAAGAGAATTTTGTGATTTGTAACAGCATGGATGAACTGGAGGATATTATGCTAACTGAAATAAGCCAGGCACAGAAAGACAAATATGGCATAATCTCACTTGTATGTGGACACTAAAAAGGTCAAACTCATAGAAGTGGAAAGTAGAATGATTGTTACCAAAGGCTGGGGGCAGGGGAGGGGTATTGGAGGAAAGAACTTCCTGGTTCTGAAATCCTTCTACTGTGTCCATAGCTACCCCACCCCAAATGCTCCCAACATCTTACAAGGGACTTCCAACAAGTTCACCCTTCCTCCTGACTCAGAGATTGAGCATCCCAATTCCAAATTTAGTTATAAATGCAATATGTTGTGAATTGAAGAAAGCAGAATATTCGAAAATGTATATTCAATTTGACTGCAACAGTATGGAAAGCCTGACATTTGGGGAGGGAAATGGAAAGAATCCTTCAAAAATAGAGGTCATTTTGTCAGAATGGTAATTAAAAGGATGCCTTTTTTCATTTAGTTTATTCTCCTTAAAACTGCTTTTAAGTTATTTTTACAAATTACAAAAAAATGCAAAGAAGCAGGAGAGTTTTCTTAAACATTTGCTTAGATGCTCAACAAATGGTCTTATTCTCTGTTTTTCCCAGACAGAGCATATTCCTCAGGGAGCAGGGGAACCACAGGACATAGTACCCTGCTGCCCAGGGCAGAAGATAGGAGAGTGCCAAGAACATTCTCAGGATCATTTAGAGCCTATGCTGGGAGGAACCACCTAGAAGGAGCTGTAAGGATGCCCTGAAGACAGTGCCTGAGTCTGTCCCTAGCATGTGCCCAAAGAAAACAACTTCTTTAGGCACACGGTATAGAAAGAACTGTTGGTGCCATAATGGCCTCCTCAACGGGCCCACCCAGAAAAGACAAATCAACCATCAGTGCAGATTTGAGTTGGAGATTCAGAAACTGGCATTGCTCCTGCTGTCAGGAGCTGAGTTCTGATAAAGGGGAGGCAAATGTGCCAGAGTCTCAGATTTACCCCACATACGGAATATGGGAAGGGACCTGCCCAGCACAAACACCAGACAATTATAGTCCAAAGCAACCCAGCTCCCCTGGGCTCTGCAGAAAATGTAGAGACAGAAGGAAAGAGGCCAAACAGGGACCCACAAACCCCCACCCATCCTTGATCCAAAGCTGAGCCTTCACCTAAGACACCACAAGTGGCCCCCCTCCCTCCATCCCATCATTCTCCTAACCACTTTGTACCCTCACAGTCCCACTTAATATACAGAAAGGTTATACGGAGAAATCAAGGTCCCTTATATGTTACAACTTATTTTAAAGTGATTATATAGTAAATGATAAGAAAAAAAATTAAAAAAGAGAAACAAAGAAGGCTTTACCTTACTGTA